CTTTTGTCCTTTCTGTAAGAAAGAAATTATTACTGCAGCAGCTGTAGAAAAGATTTTTTAAAAAACTATTTATTTATTGTCAGTCCTGCCTCAGGAAGGGAGAAGCTGAACCAGCCGGCGGGGACTCAGGACTTCCCAGCTAAGGTATTTTTAACTGCAGAATAAGAACAAATTTCAAAGTCATTTGGCATGGCAGAGAAACTATTTAAAGGCACAGAGTTCACACCAAAATGCTCCCTGGTAATACAAGCTTTATTACTGAAGACGGATTTGGGGCTGTTTTGAGCAGTGTCTTGCATCACATAACGAGACATCCTCATACGCTCCCAGGACCGTGAAAGTCAGGCTGGCTGCAGTCCCGCTTCTCTTTTGCCACTGAGCTGCCGCCGCAGCCCCATGGAGAGGAACCACGTCTGACTGATGCCTCCCCCCAGTCTCACTGCCTTTTAGGTACCAGTTCTGCGCACACATACCGCTGCGTAGCCGACAGCGCTCTGGGAAAGGACGACAGGGACTCTTGTTCACACAGGCCTGATCTAAACCCAGGGACAACGTGAGTCACCGCTGAGTCAGGCCCTCCCAGGCAAGATGACACAAAGTGAGAACTGCAGCACCCTGTGGTAGCGTCTCCCTCTACTGCAAAACAAGCACCGAGTTAGATTTGGAACAAACTTTAAATCCAGTAGTCTGAACCGAAAAGCATTTTCAGTTTTTTAACTGGGATTTCATTGCACCATAGAAACCCTGAAAACACTAGCAAAGAGCGCGACTGGAAACAGTCAAAAAGTCTCCGCGCTAAGTTCATATGAGTTTATATGAAACAGGTAGGAGAGTATTTGAAATGTGGCTGCAGAAGCAGAGATGATTTTCTGCAGTACAAGGCAGAGCTCTTGTGCCAGCACTTGTGAAACATTCACGGTATTTCCTTAGTTTTAAATCCTTCCATCGTTTAGGCATGAAATACAACATTGTGTAAGCTCACTCACAGGGATGATTTAACTCAGAAGGCTCAAGACAGATAAACATTTAAAAAAACAGATTATAATTTTTAGTATACACAGAAAGTTATTTCCAAATACTGTAGGGACAGAATTCTCAAAAGAAAGAAAATATTTAGAATAGCACAAAGCAGTACTGACAGCTGGACGGTGGACGAAGTTAACAACAGGAAACAGGCATTTCAAATAAAGCCGCAAGAAAACTAGATGCTTCTTCATGAAGAGGAATCCCGACTTCCTAAGGGGACCGGCTCAGAGCTAGGACCACTTATCGAGGGGGATACGGCTGTAATAAATCCCCAGCATCGCCCATTCTGATCTCGCCCGAACGCTGCTGCTGCTCTCCTTGTCTGCTTAGCTTTCCCTTT